TCCCCTTTTTACGGGTGAGAGAGCTAAAGCTTAATGAGGTGAGACAGTCCTCTTTGTTTGGCAAGTGGCAAGGCAGGAATTTAAACTAGTTTTTCCGTAGACCCCAACCACAGGCGTGTACTCTCAACTGCACGGGCCACGTTTCCATCTGTTTAGTTTAGGCTACGTCCCAGTTGGACACTAGAGGGCGCCGAGACAGCAAAACAAAGGGAGGAATTTTCTGAGCAACCACAGCAAATCAACCTTTCGAATTCCTCTTTGAAGCTGGGTTAGCTGGAAGTGCAGTGTTGAGAGGGGTAAATTCACACCTAATGGGTACAGTGCACACTATCTGGGTGATGGGAACACTTATAACTTTGACTCAAACTGTACAAAAACAATTCATGTAACCAAAACATTTGTACCCCTATAATATTCTGAATTGTTTTTTGGTTTTTTTTTTTTTTTAAAGGCAGGTCTGCACTCTCTGGTTACAGATAAAGGCCAGAATCAGTTAGGATTCAGCTTTTAGCCAAAGCACTTCAGCCCCCTGCTTTCCCCCACCCCCCCCACCATAATTGCTCAGGAATGTTTGAGGAATTTAATTGAATGTCTGGTTCCAATCACAAGGCATATACCTAGCTTGCTTCTGCTTATTCCACAGCTGATTCCAAATCAGGGGTGTTATGCAAACATCTACTCAGCTAGAAATCGGTCCAAGTGAAGGTAGCTTAGTTCACTCATGGGCTGTGTACACAGGCCAGATGTATCTCTCACCACCCAGTATAGTCCAGCCCCCAGGCAGTCCTCCACCCCAGCCCTCAGCCAAATCACAAAGAATGACTGAATGAACGTGACTGTCATCCTGAGGGATGCTTCATGGGATGAAGTGCTGAGAGTGTAGCTCACGGGATTATTTTTCCACTGAGGGAACAGGTGCTTACTCACCAGTCTCTGTGTCTAGGAGTAAATCCGCATTCCTTGTTGCTTCAATTCTTTGCTCCTTAGATCTTTGCTATTATTATCTAGGTAGCTATTCAGTCCTGTTTACAGCTCACAAGGAGTAGAGTGTGTGGATGAAAATTACTGGAAAAAGCTAGCTCACATTTTAGGGGAAAAGTATTTTAGAATAATCAATGAACAATGTGACTCCAAAGAGCCGTTGCTCCTGTGTCTCAGTCTCGTGTGGCAAAAACCAACAGAGCCTTTTCACCCCAGTCACACCCTGGAGTGACGCAATCATCCATGAGACCCAGGCAAGACACATGTTTCTGATGTGAAGCTGGCCTGCCAGCTCCGGAAGTTACCCTACCGTCTGACGGGCTGCGGATCAGCGAGGAATGTTCAGACAGACTTACCCACAAGACACACAGCACAGCAGCAATGCCAGGCAGTTTGGCCATTTTTCTCTGTACAGAAGTGGCTGCCAGCATTTTTTTTTTTTTTTTTTTAATGTAGGGAGGTTATGTTACCCGAACTCTATTTTAGTAAGATGGGTTGGTGGCACAATAGAGGCTAAGATAAAGAGGAGGTTTGGGAACAGAGGGTGTGTGGAACTCAGTAAGCACTGGGGCATGTAAGAAACATTTCAGAGCTGGAATTAGCAGCTCTGGATTGTTGATTGACTGTGGGAGTTTCAGAAGAGAAGGTATAAATACAGTAGCCTCACATTCTTTGAACATTTACCGTGTGCATGTTACTAAGCATTTTGTAGGTGTTTTCTTGTTTAATTCTAACAAATCTTGAGAGGTAGGATTTATTATCCATTTTTTATTTTTTTATTTTTTTTGAGACAGAGCCTCAAGCTGTCCCCCTGGGTAGAGTGCCCTGGCATTATAGCTCACAGCAACCTCCAACTCCTGGGCTCAAGCGAGTCTCCTGCCTCCACCTCCCAAGTAGCTGGGACCACAGGCGCCCGCCACAACGCCCGGCTATTTTTTGGTTGCAGCCGTCATTGTTGTTTGGCGGGTCCGGGCTGGGGATTCGAACCCGCCACCTTAGGTGTATGTGGCTGGCGCCTTAGCCGGTTGAGCTATAGGCGCTGAGCCTATTATCCATTTTTTATAAAGAGGAAACTGAGGCACAGAGAGGCTAAAAGTTACTTGTCAAAAGTCACTAAGATTTTGAACCTGGGCAACCAAACTCCAGAACATGCATCCTTTGCACACAACGCAAGTCTGGGTGACACAGGAGATGGAGATGTCTGAGGCTGAGCCAGGGACGTCAACAGAAGGAGCAGGTGGGCTTATGTGTGGAGGAGGAGCATGGGCAGACAAAGTGGTGTTTGGGGCATGTGTGGAGTGTGGGTGTTCTGCCAGCACCTCAAGTGGAGATCTCCAGCAGGCTTTGTGTCCCAATGTGGGGAGGGAGCTGGTTTTCATTAAAAATAATGAAACATCTGCAAAAATACCTTTGGCTGAGTTTCCTAGTCAAACTATTCAAGAAGGGCCTGCTATGCTAACAAACAGGAAGACTGTGCCCAAGCTGAAGGTTTGGAAAAAGATTTGAAAAAAGCGGCTTATCCAGGTGCTCAGGCCTCTGGAACGCTGTGAGTGCTGCAGGGAGAAGCCGGCACAAGGCAGCAGGACCAAGACTTGAAAGAGGAGGAGGGAAGCAATATGCTCCGCATTCCATCATGGGCCAAAGCTCCTCAATGCTGCCTTCCCAGTACATCCACCTAGGGCAGTGGTTCTCAACCTTCCTAATGCCGCAGCCCTATAATATAGTTCCTGTGGGTCACAACCCACAGGTTGAGAACCGCTGACCTAGAGAGTTTTAAAAAAAGTACTCTTGTCTAGTCCTTACCCCAGAACCAATTAGATCAGAACATCTCGGGGTGGGTCATAGGCAGTTTCTAGAAGCTCTCTGGGTGATTCTAATGTGAGGCCAGGGTTAGGAACCACAGTAAAAGAAGGAAGAAGATTTGTCCTTGGAGATGGCCAGGGAGCAGGGTAAGTAATGACTGATGCCTACAGAGTACTTTTCAGTCCATAAAGCACTTGTGTGTCCATGGCATTCCTGTTTGCAGGTTGGAGGAGGAAATCATGAGCCAAGAAGAGAAATGACTTGCTCAAGGTCAAACGGTTTAGTGGAAAAGCCATGAACAGAACTCAGATCTGCAGACCCCAAATTCATGATGCCACACGGAGTTCATCCGTATTCACATAGAAAGCTGAGAGTATAAGTTCTTCTTAAAGTAATTATGATCCGGCTCGGCGCCTATAGCTCAACC